TTGTTTTTCTGCTTCAATATTAATTAGAAAAGCTTGAAACCAGTCAAGAGTATTGTTAATTAAGCTAGTTGGGTCATACTTAGATGAATAGTAGGAAATCTATATTGAGATATTTTTTAAAGAATCTTAAAAGTATGTTTGATAGTTAGTTTTTGTAAGTTTTGTATCTGTTATAAAAATTATTTTAAGTTTTTTATAAAGGTTAAAATAATAGTAAAAAGTTGAAATAATGGTTAAAATTTTAAAGTTTTTTTGAGGTATAAAATTTATAAGTTAGAGGTTAAAAGTGTGTAAATAACAGAAGTTATTTAAAGAGCGGCTAGTGTAGCTTTATGTGTAACCTTGTATGTGATAACAAGAATTTTTTTGCACACAACTTCAACACCTCTATAAACTCTTTTAATAATATTTTTTCCAGATGATTTACTAAGTGGATATGGTTCAAGATTAGCTAGATTTATATCAGATGCTTTAAATACATTATTTAATTTTACTTTGGTGGTATCCTCTGTACCCATGGAACCACTTTCAGGTTTAACTATTTGTTTAGTTAATTCATCTATATTTGTTGATAACTGGGTTAATTTTTTTATTACTAATCTGATATCAAAACTTATATCACCTATATTCTATTTTAATAATTTTAAAAAAACATCAGGTTAATAAATTATGAAATAAACATTTTAAATCAACTAAATTACCTTAAGTAAAATATTTATATCTTCTATAACTTTTTTAGATTCTATTTCTCTTCGTTCATTATTATAAATAGCCAAAGTAAAATGTAAATCATTACAAACTTCTTCAAATTCTTTAATATTTTTATCAAAAGCTTCTTTAACTGTCATTGCACTTATATATTTTTGTAAACTTGATAATTGAGTAACATCTTTAGCAAATTTTCTAATATTTTCTAAAACCGTTATAAATCTAACTCAAGCACAATAATAATTTTGATCTCGAAAGAGTTTTTCATTTGCTAATTGTTGTCTTTGTAAAGAATTTAAAGCTTGTTGAGCAATTTCAACATAATCAATTAAAGCTAAACAAATTTTTTGATTATATTTTGCAGATTCATTTGTTTATAATAATGATTTAACAATATCTGTGACTTGTGAAAAAAATAGAAGAAATGGTTGAATTGCATCTCCGGCAGTTTGAATTGTATTGAAACTATGACATGTTACTTCTTGCTTAATGTTAAATCTTCCATTATATTTATCCACTAAATTGATTTTAATTTCACTGGTATTTTTAGGTGTATTTTGCATTGCTGAATTACCATTATTGTAACTATAGCTATTAAGGGTAGATAGGTTATGCAACAATTTTTATATGATAACTAATAATTGGACTTGTTTGTTTTTATTATTCTTTTTGATTCTAATGAAATGCCTAACTAGCTTTTGCTTTTTTTACATATTTATATTGCACGTTACAAAGCAATTACATAATTATAACTTCAATTCGAACGTATAGCTATTACAACCCTCAAATGACCTAGTGATTAGATCATGTTAAGTGACTTTGACCTTACATCACATTTTATATGAAGTACGATCATAATACTGATATGATTCTAGTGGTTACATAAAACTCATCCAAAGTGAGTAGTCACGTTCGTTATACAACATGTGCATAGTACTATGTAACCCGATGGTTTCCTTACACTCTCCCTCATTTAAAACAGTTTTACCAGTTTTTTCAAACTCTTTTACCAAGTCTTTGTAATTTTCAAGATTAGTCAAGGGTTTCCAAGTAGCATCGTATAGTGGGTGACCTTTCCATTTTACTAAGTACTGTAGGCGATAGTAGTATATTCTCTTGTCTAGTATAGCTTCGACTTTGTGTTCTTCTGGATCTTTGGTTGCAATTTCTGGGGGTTCTTTTCTTACTTCATCTCTAAACTCACTAGGGTAGTAAGGTTTTAATAAGGATACGTGGAAAACTGGGTGAATACATAGTGTTTTCGGGAGTTTTAATCGATATGTTACTGCTGAAATTTTCTGAATGATTTTGAAGAGTCCTATGAGTTTTGCGATAAGTTTCTTTGATGCACTTTTTGCACTTTTTTGTGGAATTATATTTGTCGAATTCAATAATACTAAATCTCTTTCATTTAATTCTAGATAACATCGCTTTTGTTGGCTTGATCACTTTGTTTCTCTTGAGTGTTACTAATAAATCTTTTGCTATATTTATTATCTTGATCCAATGCATGAATAGTTCTTGTGCTGCTTTAACATTTGTTGAGTTAACCTTTTCATTTGTTAGACTTAATGGTGTCCTCAGATAGTGTCCGTTATCTAATTGAAATGGTGTATAACTCGTGAATTCTTGTAATGAATTATTGTAAGAAAATTCTGTGGCGGGCAAAATTTCTTTCCAATTATCTTGCTTGTAGTTTACATAGGCACGCAAGACTTTTTCAAGAATTCTGTTTGTATTTTCCGTTTGTCCATCAGTTTGTGAATATGCTGATATCGACATTTTTAACTCTGTTCCTATTATTTTGAAAAGGCACTTCCAAAATTTACTTATAAATTTTGGGTCTCTATTAGAAACTATAAAACGAGATAGGCCATGGTGTTTGAAAATTTCTTTGAAAAAAACTTGGGTGACTTCTGCTGCTATTGTGAAACTTCTGGTAGGTAAAAAATATACTTTTTTGCTTAACTTATCTACCACTATCATAATTGAATTA